AAGTAATGCCGGCCCGGTTTTGGCGTGTTCGGGATGTGTGGGCCGCGCTTCTGACCACACTCTCTTCATAAGACGGGCCAAACAACGGCCACCACCACCACCACCACCCACCCACTCCGGCGGCCTTCGCTTCGTGGCTCCAATTGACGTCACGCAGCTGCTTGACTTTTGATGTTTGCCTGTGGGCAACACAACAAGCTCGGCACCGGCCTTCGGCGAGGGAGGGGAGGGGGGCGGGCGGTGACATTTTGGGAAGGGGGGCAAACAGGGGTTAAGGGAAAAAATTGTTAAATCGATTAAAGTCAAAGTTTTGTCAGATACCCAACAGCAGCAGCAGCTAAAGTGCGTGAGCGGGACAAGCCCGAAAGTGAAATAGACCAGCGACAGCAGCCAGATAATGCCGCCGGCCATCAGTCAGTCAATCATTTCCATCCCTTTGCCCCCACCAAAAACCATAACCACCCCCCCCAGCCACCACCTGGCCACTATAAAAAGCAAAGTTTTGCAATCAACAAAAGTTAAAAGTTACCAGCGTACTAGAAAAGTTTTTCTAATTAGAACGGACTTGGAACCGCAGGTGTCATCAGCCAAAAGGCGTCATCAAATCAAACTCATTTTGCCACCACATACACAAACACGATATAATGATAAGCTAATACTCTAGAGATAAAGTTAACTGGATATTTAAAACTGAATAAATTATGAGTCATTTTCTTGGATTTTGTTTAAGGAAATATGTACTATATTTTATAGTTTTTTTTTACTATGCAGTACTAGCAACTAACTATATGGAACTGCTGATTTTTTTTGGACTTAATATTGCACTAGGAAAGCATTTTGTAAAATTCAGCATACAAGGACAAACATTTGGAACCAAGCCATTTTGTGTAAGTCCATTGCTTTTTTGCATAATCTTCATATAGATGTTTATAAAATTTAGAAACATAAATCCTTTCCTAACACCTCGTAGTTTTAGCTTATATAAATAAGCAAATGTTTGGCAATCAGCAAAGACTTTATATATTCACACCAAATGTAATGTAATATACAAAACAACTGTGCAACTTATAGACTTAAACTTTTTATATAAGAGAAATATTTATAAAGATATAATTAGCGATAAAACTTTAGATATAAACCATTGTAACTTATGGCCAAGTTTGCAATTGAAAATAAGTTACTTATCAAAAAGTGGCCAATAAAAGCTCTGAAACTCTGAATTTAAATTGGTTGAAGCAAACGTCGTCATCAAATGAGACTTATTTAGCATGCACATAGGAGATATATGTACATATGTACAGTGATAAGCCAAGACTTTAGATACAACTAAGTCCATGGCAAATGCGTCAGTGGGCAGTAGATAAGCTATCAGTCGCCGGGGATTTTAGATTGAGACAGACTCGAGACGAGAACTCAGTGGGTCAATCTGGCCTAGTATATAACCAGTCCCATTCCTCTTCTCCACAGACTGCTGACATATGTCTTATGTACATTTGGGTATCCTATGCGTGGGTGGCTTTTTTATTCAGCATTTTCTGCTGAGCTGCAGACAAATGCCGTGCATATTAAAATCCTCACAGAGACAATGAAATTTATGAGTTTCGCACAAAAGCAAGTCCAAATTTACGACTAATAAACCGCAGCGGGCAGAAATGAAATGAAAATGCGGCTAGCTTTTTAGTTCTCTTTTGGCCGATGACACAATTCAGGGGACCTGTCATCGGTTGCCCCAAAAGAAGTGACATCTGTGGCATATTGACAACCTGGGAAAACTGAAACTGAAACCGAAACCGAAATCGAGAGACCGAATGGGATCAATGCGCTTGTAGATCGCCAGTTAATTGGCTGACGGCGGCGTATACTTAATCTATTTTGAACTCTGTCAACTAATAATAGTTTCTGCCTCACGTGCCGCGTCTGCTTATCTCGGCTGTGCAACTTTATCGTTTATTCAATATATACGCTGTATATGTATGGGAAAAATAAAACTTAATCAAGATAAGTTTCCCGGGAGCGAGGAGGCCAAATGACTGGCATCAGGCGAAGGAAAGCCAATGGAAACTTTAGCCCTGCCATCAAAGCGAAATGCGGTTGCCCTCCTAATTAGTTCGAAAAGGTCTTAGACGGCAACAAAAAGAAAACTAAGGAAAACTTCCCAAGTTCGTGTAATCAAATGAGCTAAGAAAATGGAGATGGGACAGGAAGAGGCTTCCTGAAGCCACGACAAGTAAATCCCACTTGGCACACAAAAGCGCCAGAAGTTGACAAACAAATTCGTTTGTAAATTTAGCTTTCTAAGAAATGGAAAGCTGCATAAAATATCTACGATTTAGAAGATTAAAATTGTAAATAAACAACCTTGGGATACACAAAAACCCGTAATACATCTGGAATGCATCTAAAAATGTAACATTACAATTAAAAAAGTTTATTACTCAACAAATGAAACAACGCCAGAGGCAAAGGCTAATAATGTGTCTAATTTCTGCGGCTGTCTCGTATCGATTTTCCCATTCAAATTGCTGGAACAAAATTGCGTCTCCGACATAAAAAAAGCGAATTATTGAAGAGCTTCCAAAATCTGAATAGAAATCTGGATCCCCCTTAGCACACTCTATATATATATGTACGTACATAAAGAAAGAGGGCAGTGTTGGGTGGTTTTATTTAATTTTTTTGTTCGCTTTTTTTTGACCGAAGGTCGTGGCTTTTATTGGTCGTTTTCGTTCCGTTCCGTTTCTTCTTTCCTTTTGGCCAAACAATTAAATTTTCGCTGTGTGAATATTTCTTTTCATTTCGCTTTTTGCTTTGATTGGCGATTGGGGAGGGTGGGGGGTTGAAAATTATGATTATTTATTCAGGCAGTCCCGAAAATTTGTTGGCCACTTTTTGAAGAAGACGCAAATTATGCGCAATAACTTTTTGGTGGGAGTGTGACTCACTTAAGGCATGGAAATTTCGTATTTACACATAATTTATCAACATCCGTCAAAGTGCCGGGGCATTATCACCGCAACTCAAAAACTTGTGCAACTAATTAATAATATCAACTTAAGTTTGACTGCGCCCTAAGGCTGATTTCCATGTTTTTCGCCAGGTGAAAATTGAATACACAGCAAATATTGCGCATACGCCGTGTTGCTTTTGTTTACGTGATGCGTTCTATTTCTGGACTGCGAAATTAATTGCGAATCAGAATTGAAAAACAATTTTCCCAGCCAATTGTTTGGCATAAAGGAGAATGGAATGAAAGATGAATATCGCCGGGAATAAAAACAAAAACGAGGATAATAAAAAAGCGTTCTTCGTCGCCTCTGTCCTTTCGGTTTTTATGATGAGTTTTTCACGTGCCGCTGTTCACCCTTGTCAATTCCAGTTTTGGGATACCAAAAAATATATAAAACATGAAAGGAAGCCAAAGGACTCTTGTCAATAAAAATGCCTTAAAGCCGACTGGCAACTTTTTCATTAGTTTTCTGGGGGGCGCAACTACAAATTCGTTTGTATTTTTAGAACATTTCCCAGTGCCGAGCTAATATTATCGATGACTTTTTATTCCCGGCCCCATTACCGCTGGCCAAAGATGCGGGGGAGAATCAATCAATAAACGACGAGTCCCAGCTGAAACTAAGCCGGTCCATAAGCTCCACGGGTCCAGGAAACGTGAGGACATGACAGGAATCTGCTCTCGCCAATGGAAAAAGGGAATGGGTCCGAAGCCATAAGCGGAATAAGGGCCTTTTAAGGGAGGTGGCCCCGGGCTATTGAATCGAATACGCATTGAAGTCGCCCTGCCACCGATTTATATATATTTATATATATGTATTTACCCCACACCGTTTTCCTCTCAACTTGGAATTGAATTTGGCTTGGAAATTGTGTGTTTTGCCGCTGATGGATGGTTGTCTCTCGACTGCTGTCCAACTGTATTGCCAGGTTTTTATCCTGGTTTTCTCGCTTTGCGAAAATGCCAAGTATACAAAATGGAATTAATTACAAATACAGCTCATCGAGGACGAGCACGAGAATTTGTTATCAGGATTTCATTTGCAAAAGGAGAAAAGAGGATTTCAAAAGAAGTAAAGTAGTTGGATTAAGGCAAAGAGTGTAACTAAGGATCAGGTGTTTTTAAAGGCCTTTAGAAATTTAAAAACGTTTATTAAGTTCCAGGTATTCTTAATTAATGTTCAAAAAAAAATATCTAAAAATAGTAAAATAAAACTACAAATTCATATAACAACACTTTGCTATATTTGTTCGGCTGCCTATGCATCTAGTAACCATATTTTTCCTTTAACGATTTGATTAAATCACAAAAATGTTTATATATTTTATTTACTACCCAGTTTTTAAAACCACTGCTCTTATCTTTGATAAGCTTAGACAAACCTTTTCATTAATTTTGCAGTTATTTATTTATTGCGCAATAAACAACAGCTCCTAAAACAATTAAAATTATTTACGAGTATATATTCGGATACCTGAGCACCTAGACATAATATTGGTTTCTGGAACTCACCTGACTGAAAGATTATATTATTTACTCGCTCTACTCTTATGCAACTCAGCCATCGTTTAGTCTACAATAATTACAGCCACTATGCGGTTCTCTTTCTTTTCATTTATAAATATCATGCGAATATTTTACAAAAAAATGTTTCTTTATCATGAGTATTTCTGAAGATTATTCGTCACCCAATTCAGCTATCAGCAGGTCTATTTATTCGCTGATTTCTGAATATCTCTGCGGATTCCTGAGCACCCCGATCCGATCCCCCATTACCTCACCTGGTGTTTCCACCTGCTTAAGTAGGCGACTGTCGTTGGCTTATTTAATTTTTTGTTTGCTTTTTAGTTGTGTTTGTTTATCAAGCAATGCCAACCCTTGAGCAATTGATAAGCGCGTGAAATATTTAATCGCACGGGGAGGCAAACAGAAATGGCAGCAGAATCGGAATAAAAGTGGAAATGGAATGGATTCGAACGCGAGTGAAACTCACCTGACTTTCTGCTTGGCTGTCACCTGCTGGCGATGATGGTTTCTGGGTGGGTGATTCTCCTGCGTCCACCTGTTTCACCTGCTCCTCTGGCGCCTCTTTTCCTTTATTTTCCCTTATTGCTTTTCGGCCTTTTTCCTTCTATTCTCTTTCGCTCTTTATGGCTAAAACCAAATTTAATTTGTTACTTTCGTTGATTTTGTTATTTTTTACTTTTACTTGATGGCAGGTTGGTTGATTTTTCTTGCCGCTTTTGTTGTTGTTACTTTAAGCGTTGACTTTGATGTATTAACAAAATTCCTTATTAGATTTTGATTGAAAAAAGCGTATTTGCTGGGATTATAAATATTTCAGATTTTCATGTTATACACAAGAAAGTCAAATACGAAAAACAACTGCTATTATTTTTCAGTTGTTCGCTCAAAAATTTTGTTTTATATTCTATTTTGCCAGCTGACCTGTAAGGTTTTCTTTCCGATATTTAAACTCCTACTTAGTTGCACAACTCTTTTTTTAGTTTAAATAGAGTGATTAATTTATTTTTGGCTATCTGTAAAGATTTTGATTAAACTTGAAATGAAAACGTTTTCTGTTTTTTGCCCATGAACTGTTGAACTGTTGCGCGCTTGAAATAATTTTTCGCTTAAATAAACATTTTTTCTGGAAGGGTGTTTTTTGCCAGCCAAACTTAAATTGTTATTTATTTGGTTGGATTTTTTTTGTGCGACGCACTTAATTTAGGTTGTTTGTTTTTTAGGGTTTTAAAATATAAATGGGCAATTCTGGTTGGCATTTAAAAAAAACCAATATGAACAACTATAGAAAGCTAAACTGGCCTAATTGGAATTTTGCACAGCGCATGCCTATCAATGATTTATGTTTCACTTTTGTTTAAGACTTAAATAAAAACAGGTTTGGTTTATCGCATATGTAATTGTTTTATTTATTCCGCTTAAATAAACATTTTTGTTTTTGTATATTTTGCTGCCACCTTAACTCGATGAAGTATGTATGTTGGATTTTTTGTTTATTGTATTGTTGTTTGCAACTCCTACACTGGCCCTCAAAAATTGTGTTTTTTGTTGGTTTGTTTTGGATTGTAATAATATATGAGCAAATTCTGATTGGCATCTTGTTGCAAAGCAGTTGCCCATGACCCAATTACCGATTGGCCTCATCGATAGGCGTCGATAACATAAAGTTGCAGTTGCATTTGCAATGTTTTTGAAAAGTTTGCCTCCAATTACTCTTAATTTCAAATGAGATCTGATCTTGTTAATTAAATGTCTGCTGATTAGGACAAGTAATTAGTTAAGTGATCGCTGCACTTGTTTTAAGAAAAAAACTGCGCTTAAAACCGGCATTTGAATCATATGCGCAAGCCCCTCTCTATCTCTCTCTTGCTCTCTGTCGAGATCCCCCTTTCTCCACCTTCACTTCACTCTCTCCTCTTCCCTCACTCTTCTCCTCTCTCTTTTTCACACGCAGCTCTCGTGTTTATTGATTGTCCCCCACCGAAAAAAACCTTCAAGTAACAACAACAAAAGCAGCAGATAGGTAGATTTCTGTATGTATGTATATTGTATTTTCGGGGAGAGGGGGGAGGCCACCTACACCACCCCCCGCCTACCGCCCACCTCGTTTTTTATTACGCGCACGTAGTGTTTTTTTTCTCTTCTCTCACATTTTTTTTTACATACACTTGCACAATTGAAGAGAGTGGCGGAGAGAGAACAGGTGCGAGGGGGCGGTTGCGGGGGGCGGGGCGAAGCTGGAGTTAATTGGCGAGCACGCTTTTCGGTTTTTCGGGCTTTTCTCTTCGCTGCAATTACTTTTCAATTTTCAAACGCACATAATCCACCGATCCGAAGCACAACGGCACACGTTCTATATCTTTCCCACCGGCGATTAAACCGCTGTTATTTGCTATATTTTTGATTTTTTGAAAATTTTTAATGGCAAACGTAAACAAGTGCGAACGGTGAAATATCGAATGCTGGAGCCTCTATATTCCGTGTTCCGTGTCAGGCAAAAAATTACAAAAAGTTGTGGATTGCGGGTTGCTTAAATAGACTCGATGCTCCCCCAAAAGCTTGCTCTCAGCCAAAGTTCTCTCTTTTGTCGACTCTCTCCAGTGTGGGGGAAAATACTAGAAAAAAATACCAAAACCAGGCAATTGTGACGTCAGAGTATGCGTTTTGGTGAGGGTGGCAATGGTAATATTGTAATATTTAAACCAAATTTAGGGGACATAATTAATTTAATTAATTTATTTAAAAGCATTTCAGTTTACCTAATTTTGTTAATCAAAAATGCGTTCATTATTTAAATACAAAAAACAATCCAAAACAATTAAAAAATAAACGACACTTTCAAATTATTAATTAAAATATTTCTCTAGCATAATATTTTCTTTTACCTTTTCATTTTTCTGTCAAAACTATTGTATCCAATCCATTTTTAAATAAATATCTTACAACATTTAGCATGCCAATAAAACCTGTTCTCAACTTGTATGGCCATAAGCGATAGTATCGTGTCACGCCACGCTGACTGTGCCACCCCCAACTCACAAATCGCCCATCCCTAAACCAGTTCGAGTTACCCATAATTTGACAGCCAAATTTTGTTAATTGCACCTGGAAAAGCAAAAAAAAATTGGGAATAATAACAAAAATGTCGCAGCGTTAAGGTGAAAACCTGCACCTGCCCGCCCAAAAGGGGAAGCAAGCAGCAAATAGCGCCGAAGGTTTTCGACAATAGCGTGCAAGCGAGTGAATCACTATCAGATAAAGAAATTGGATTGGACGGAGGAGCGTAGATCGCAGAGATCCCCGCCCGCCGGAGGAGCAGTCACAATAGCAGTCCCATCTGGCGCCCCGATTCCGCTTCAGCTTCAGGTGGACGTCACCCCAACGCCCAGAGACACGCGCGCCCTCACCGAAGTGGTGGCCCACATTAATAACATGGGAAACGACGACCATCGACGGCGGAAGACACCTTGTGGATTTTGTATGGCGGTCTTCAAGTGGATCCCGGTGCTGTTCATCACCGCGGTGATAGCCTGGTCCTACTATGCCTACGTGGTGGAGCTGTGCATCCGTAAGTGCTATTATTCATTTCTCTAGAAGTTGAATCTCTAACCATTCCTCCACCTACAGGCAACTCGCAGAACCGCATCGGTATGATATTCATGCTGTTGTTCTACCACCTTTTTCTCACCCTGTTTATGTGGTCCTACTGGCGTACCATTATGACGTCCGTGGGGCGAATGCCTGATCAGGTGAGTAAGCCACACGCCTTATCGGCTGCCACTATCAAAAGTGACTGGGAAAACCTCACTAATACCTTATGTTTACCTCTTTTGCAGTGGCGGATACCGGACGAGGAAGTGACTCGACTTTTCCGGGCCGACAGCCCAGACACCCAGAAACGCATACTTAACAACTTTGCGCGCGATCTGCCAGTCACAAATCGGTGAGGATTAAATTAAGTTATCAAGCTCAGTTCCGCGAAATCTATTTCATTAGAAGCCTAGCGCTTAATTTAGTTTTTATTTTTTTGTTTTTTATTATTATTTTTAACTATAAACTGTCAGCCGAAGTGCTGTGGTCTTAAATAAGCAAATTAAATAGTTTTTTTACATACTTGTCTTTTGATATTGCGAACAAAGTATAAAAGCTATAAAAGAAGGGAATCATTTGTTATAGGAAATAATGTTTCTTAAATGAAAAAATGACTCAGTTAAAATGAAAACAAAATGAAAAGTACCTTATACATTTTATAATGGGCATTTCGGAAAAAATGTATTTAATCCGTAAAATATTTGATTTTCAGCACAATGAACGGATCTGTGCGGTTCTGCGAGAAGTGCAAGATCATCAAGCCAGACCGGGCGCACCACTGCAGCGTGTGCAGCTGCTGCGTGCTGAAGATGGACCACCACTGCCCCTGGGTGAACAACTGCGTCAACTTCTACAACTACAAGTACTTTGTCCTGTTCCTGGGCTATGCGCTCGTCTACTGCCTGTACGTGGCCTTCACAGCGCTGCACGATTTTGTCGATTTCTGGAAGGTAGGTGCCGTAAGTTTCCGATTGCTCAACCTTTATTATTACCTAATTATATACCCGCTGCATGCGAAGACCTGTTAGTTAATGATTGTATTCTCTCGTTTCGCTGTAATGTTTTCTATACTGCTTGTACTTTCTGATCCAAGTACGATAATAATGGTTACTCGGCACAGGGACAGCTAAATGCCACCGGAATGGGACGATTCCACATCTTGTTCCTGTTCTTCATTGCCTTAATGTTTGCCATTAGTTTGGTGAGTTTGTTTGGCTACCACATCTACCTGGTGCTGGTGAATCGCACGACTCTGGGTGAGTAAATGAAGCCTGATATTCCAATTATAGGTTTAATATAGCCTTCTTTATTTGTTTTCCATTTAGAGTCGTTTCGGGCTCCCATCTTCCGCGTTGGCGGCCCAGATAAGAATGGCTATAACTTGGGCCGATACGCCAATTTCTGCGAGGTATTCGGTGACGACTGGCAGTACTGGTTCCTGCCCGTCTTCTCCAGGTATGTCTCGCTCCTTCTTTCCCACCATTTCGATCTTTGGCATTCTCACATTCCCATTTTTACTAATCCGTGCTGCACTAGAAGCTCTCTCACTCTTTAGTTGTTGTTCTTGTACGCTTTGTTTTATTTGATTTAACTTACTTTATGATTTTCGTTAATATGTTGATTTTGGCAAATTAAAGGCATGCTCGAAAGCCAGTGCTTAGTAGTTAAATACCTTTTCTAATTTTCGATGTGTGTTCTGTGTGCTGAGTTTAAGAATAAAGCAAATACAGCTAAAAATCACTAATTTTACCACTTATAATTTGTGTAAGCCAAATAACTACTCTGTATGTCCAAAAAATGAGAACGCAAAGCAACGAAACAATGCTGTCGATCTCCTCTTGTAATTTAGTTGTAAGCATAATCAAAATTACCACTTCATTTCACTTACGTTCGTTGTTTCTGTTTGTAAATAAAAAAAAGTCGAAAAGATTCGACTTGATCGCGGGATTTAGTGACTAATTTAAAATGCCAAATTTCGCTTGAAATTCTGCCAGAATCCGTGGAATTTCACGAACCCACTCAGCTTACTAAAAACCAAAACACTTGCCATTCACAATCAGTTAATCCAATTGCAATATTCGTCTCCACACATCCGTGCAAAATTATATAACAAACTGCAAACGACAACAACAACAACAGCTACAACTACAACAAGCTAAACTGTATAAAACAAAAATCAACTCGAAAACCTAACAAACAAAAGATAATTTCTGTTTAAAACTCTCTGTTTAACGCAATACCACCACTTCTGCTTATTCACAATCACGGAACTAGTCGCGGTGATGGCTACAGCTATCCGACCTCCAGCGACCAGAGTCGAGTGTCCACCACCTCACCCGTCCAGCGTTACGATGCCATGGGGGATACGGCCACCAGCAGGTTAGATGGCAATCCAACAGATAAGTTGATTGGCGCTAGTCCCCTCGACACCACTAACCATCACCACAACCAATCGCCTCATCAAGTAAGAAGCCCCAGCGCCCAGCCAATCCAGCAGTTGCAGCAGCAACAGGCGCCACCATCTCCATACCTGGACGAGCTGGAAGAGCGGCTGGAGCAGGTGGCAAACGGCCAGTCATTAAGCAGCAGCACAGCAGTAGTCAAGTCTAGTCAGCAGGCGGAGAGAGAAGCCAATGGGGCAGCTGTATTCATCGACATGGTTGGGGATCATCCACTAGCAGGAGTGGATCCTGCCAAGGATTCCCCACGCCCGCCGAATGGCGATCTGCCAGTTTGAATTGCACCATTTGATTTGTTTCTGTAGAATGTATTGTGTTTGTACTATATAGCCGAGTAAACTGCCAGATTTGTCAACGTCGCAGTTTGTAGTAAGCCAATAAGTTACCTCTATGCAATTCATCAAATGTTCAGTGTAGGCCATTAAAATGTTTGAATGGCTGGGACCACTATACTTGGCTTAGATATACATCGTCGGGTATTTTAAATTCAATCATCACTTAGCTACATTCGACTAAGTTAACATTAAGCAATATGTAATTGGTTTTAAACAAGCATTTATCGCTGTTTCAATCCATCGAATTTTGTATTTGAAATCAGCAGAAACGAATATATGGGAGATCCTTGAAGCTGAGATATTTATCGAGGTCAGAAATTTGTACCTTGTTAACACATTAATGGAACCAATCATCCTTGTAGATATCAACCGATCTTCAAGACTTAAGCCTAATGATAAGCTATGAGATTTCAGTACACACTATTATCACACGAAATTCGGGCATTTCTCTTTGCTTTTAATTTATGTAGTTAGTTAGTTACTGTTTGCAATTTAACTTTTATACTTTTTTATTCTTTTGTACACCTATTATACCTAAATACATTATTATACTGAGCGAACTTGTCTACGAGTGACGAACTTAAGATGGATGCAAAAATATATTTGTAACAGCAACAAAGGTTTGTTTTTAATTTGCCAAAGAAAAGAAATCCAACAGCTTTGCTTCCGTTGCACTGCACATTATCATCAATCAATCAATCAAATACGAAATAGCGCACTCAACTAATCATTTTCCCACTATGATCTATGATCTGTACACTATATGTTATACCTATCCTGATCGAATTTAATGCACCACATCCTTTAGCTTTGGAGATGGCAAAACGTTCCCGATCCGACATATGGAGGAAGACACCGAATCTTTGCTGGGATATCACAGCGACACGCGCATTGAGCTGGAGGAAGACTTTCTGCCAGAACCGCGGTTCCAGGACTCGATTCCATAGCTAATTATGACCAGTGACAATGTGGCGACATACTACATTTAGAGATTTAGTTGAAAGCTTTTTTGGATGGCTTCATCCTTTTTTTTCAACTTTCATTTTCAGTGTGTAAATAACAGAAAGAAAGACAGTCCATCCTTTAGGGACAACTAGGTCATTATGTTTAAGCTATCAGAGAGTGGATGGACAATTACAATATAGATGTATGTAAGAAACATAGATGAGCGGTTGGTGACAGACTAAATTTCGACTAAAAACTTGCTTTGACATTCGCGTTGGAAATTTTAAAACGTATTAATTTAGTGTGTAAGTAGACAGTTATTAGCCCGTTTCGAACAAAAGTTTATGTCTATATCGGAATACAGCTAGTTATGCTAACAACAAAGTTCAGAATATAGGCTAAATATAGTTAAACGCATAGTGGGAATACAATAAAATCAAAAACGAAACTTTAAGCAACACATATGGATCTGTATATTTACAAAAATAAAATTCCAACTATTCCATTCAATCGAACCTACTCAAGTCGTTATTTGTGCTCGACTGCCGTGTTGCAGAAATTGTGGTGGAGGAAACGACTTCAAAGTCGTCATCTGCGGGGGCTGTTTTCTCAAAACTCTCTGAAGGATCGGCAAAAGGGTTAGCTGTCTGTCTAACGACTTTGGGCAATGCTTTTGGAGGAGAAGGCTCATAAACGACTGGTGATTCCACGGTGTCCTCCACCAGCTTCCTTTTCTTCTGCTTTTTGCTAACTAAAACATCTCGACGCACAGATATGCCAGTATCCTCACTTTGAGGCAGCAGATCGCTTAGATCGGTCTCCACATCCTCAACATCCGGTTGAAGTTTCTCCTGCAGAGCCGCCAGAGCAATTAGCAAGGCCTCCTCCGTGCGAATGGTTCGAGATCCTTGGCGGGGCAAAACATTCACATAGTGATCGAACAGCAGCTCCGGATCGTCTACAGTTAGCTTCTCGTCGTTGGATAGGGCAGATTCCAGGCCTTGCAGTCCGCCAAAGACGATGAGCATGTGTTTGAAGCTATAGGATCGGTTGGGTACCTCATGCACATTGGTGCCGCGATCGGAGGTTCCAAGAGTCACATCGTAGCCGGAATCGTAGGGGGATTTGGTGAAAATCTCCGACAGTGAGTGGGCAATACGCACTTGGTAGCCCCAATAGACACCTGTTTCCCGACGTGGCTCATCCGGGCTGACAAGGGTTCCCTTCTGCTTTCTGCTGGTCTCTAAAATTCCAATAGATTTGATTTGATTTTGATTTAGATTCATAAAACATTTAGGGCTTACCACTTTGAGGTTCCATTTTCACGGTCACCCTGACTCCCGGCTCAATTGCCTTGTCCACCAGAACGTCGTTGAGCAGTCCCACGTTCGCGTAACTGTGTCCCTCCTTGGCCTTCTTGTCGCAGATGACGCCCTCGCGATAACGAAACATGCTTTGCTGCCGGAGGTGGTGGGGGGTGTCCAGCGGATTAAGCAGCCCCGAGTACTTGAGGTCCTTGTGCAGAGGGAAGAAGTACTTGCGCAGGTACTGCGGACACTCCAGATACTGCAGGATTCGAGCCAATTGCAGGGAGCTGCTGCGCACGGTGCCAGTGCCACTGCCCTCCGCATCCTCCTCGTAGCTGCGCTTTGTCTCGCGGGCAGTGGCTATGCCCACGTCGTCAAAGACGATCACCTCGTTCACCCGGAAGATGCAGGCAGCACGAGCTATTTGACCAGCCACGTAGGCCCGCAATTCGGCGGATTGGGCATTCTCGAGGATGGAACCAGGCACAGCTATACTCAGGGTGGACGGATTGGGTCTGTCCTTCTTTTGTGCTTCAGTGGCGGCCAGTTCCGCACGGGTTTCCGCCTCCTCCGCCTGCTGCAGTTCCTTGAGCAGCTTTTCCTGCTTGCGCTGACGCTTCAGCGCCTTCCGCTCTTCGTTTACCTTCTTCCAGGACTTGTGCGGCTCCGTGGGCTTGCCATTGCTGCTGACTGCGGGGGCGGCTGGCATGGTTTTAATTAATAATCTACCAGTGCTCTCAGAAATCGCTAAAAACAAACCACGCACGTGCAATAACAATGTTTCAGTGTGGCCAAATCATTAATTCTTTTTTTGTCTAATTTGGTATTAATCGTATAACAATTCAAAATATTATTTATTCCATTTATTTGACTATATACACATTTATTATCCTAACAACGAGTTAAAACTATTAAAAATCCACAAAATAAACCATATATTTTATACAATTTATTTGATTTCGTTACCTTCAATCATAATATAGTTGGAGGAACCCCCCTAGTATTCCTTTAATTCCGACTTGCGTTGGTATTTTTTCGGAATTCCTAGGATAGCTTTACAAACGCATTAGGGCATTTTTTGACATTGTCAGATCCCGTCTTTTTTATAAGGAACTCGGTTTAATTCGGGAAATCCCCGTGAATACATGAGCTTGCCTGATTTTTGCGATCACAATGAGTCGCGAAGTGCTATCCCCTCCTGTCCAAACGATGAGCCAAAATCGACGCTATAGGGTTAACGTGGTGCACGAAGATTTCGGCGGTGCAAAGTGGAACGGCCAAAATAAACGAGCTAAAGGAGAAAACAAGGCCTACCAGGAAACAGGTGAATGGCTATTTGCATTTTTTTTTCCTAGATAACCATTTCTTTCCCTCAGATCTTTATGCCGACGACGACGACGAGGAGGATCCAGCTGCTACTCGAATTGAGGAGACGCCAAATGGCGATTTTAAGCTTGCTCTTCATGTTCCGAAGTGCGTTAACACTTGCTCATATATTGATGTCACTGTAAGCCATTTTCTTGCAGATCATTCTATGGGGGACTAATTGGCATGAAAGGCTCTACGAAGCGTCGCATCGAGGAAGAGACCAGGACCGAGATCTACGTTCCACGTCAAAACGAGAGATCCAATGACGTCGTTATCAAAGCCAAACAACGCAGCCAGGTGTGCGCTGCACTGCGTCAAATCCGCCACTTACTTGCCTCCCTGCGCAAGAAGATGAAGCCCACCCACTTTTTGGCCGTAGCTCTAAACACCGGTGAAGTCCAGCAGCGTTTTGTGGAGTTGAAGGTACATATACATTTTATAGGGTGAAATCAGCCAAGAGAAATTCTGATCATATGCTCCCTTACCAGAGAAACATTTTGGAGGCTCAGTTGCCGGGAATCGATGAGGAGCTATTTATCTCTGAGCGCTGCATCCACCTTACCCTAGGTGTGTATGTGCTCCTGGACGACGACGAGCGTCAAAGGGCCCTCAATGAGCTGGAGGCCTGTCGTCAGTTTCTGGCTGACCTAAAAACTCCATTTGACATGAAAGTCAACGGCCTGGAGATTATGAACGACGATCCCAGCTCCACTCGCGTTCTATACGGTCGTATTGAGTCTTCGGACTTGCAGAAGTTCGCGGATAAGTGTCTGGCCCACTTCCAGACCACCGGCCTGTGCGCCACAGACAATAATGACCGCGAGTCTATCAAGCTCCACATGACAGTGATGAACAACCGTTACCGCAAGGAGGCAATGAAGTCCGGGAACAGCTTTGATGCCCGCGAGATCCTGAAGCGCTTTGGGGACTTTGACTTCGGTTCAGCGGAATGCCAGGACGTGCACCTCTGCGTCTTGAAATCGCGTGGGGAGGACGAATTTTACAAGATCTCGGGCAGCTTGAAGTTCTAAAAAACGTTTCTCTCTCATTCCGTATAATTAAAGTTTGAACAAAGAAACGTGAAAAACCAAACATTAGGAATTACACATTGCTTTATAAATAAATGCTATCACCAATAAATACACATATACGATTTATTTGTCGAATATCAATGCTCAAATTGGTTTTGTATAAATGATGCAACTGGACTGCATAACACCTCAGTGCCTTGTGCCTATCGAGATTATCTCCGTGGTTTTTCCACGGGAAAGTCACGTGAACCGAGACAAATGTGCGCCGAGACTTCGCTTACGTTTAAAGTGGTTCTGTTTCTGTTCTGGTTTTACAGTAAATATAAAAATATATCGTTCATATGTGAGGATTTGTGGCGAAATCGTTTATTGGAACTAACAAAATAATGGGTAAAACAAAAAGGGTTATATATAAAGTGCATGCTTAAGAGCTACGGAGTAGGAAGCCACAAGTGGAGGACACGAACATTTACAAAAAGAGGTGGACCAGCTAAAATGCCAGGTTGGGAAGAATATACATATAAAGTGGAAGCAAGCTGGACATTCCAGACACACTCGCGCAGTTGTACAAAAATTGGTTTAAATTGAATATCAAAAACAACTTGGCGGCTTACTAACTAACTTTAACTACACACGATTTGCTTGGATTTTTGCTTTTTTGTTGCTTGTTACTTGTCAATAGCTTCAGTCTAAAGTTAAAATTTGGTTGACTTCTGTTTTTCTCCTTTTTTTTCTTGTAGAGGATATCATTGGTTCTACTTGACACACTACACTGATGATTTGTTATCGTTCCTTCGGGCGGGATTTGAACTACAATAGTACTGATGTTGGAAAATTGGTTTAGTTTCTTGCACATAGACTATATAGTAAATATTTCAACATATGCAGGTTTACATTAATATACTTATATGGATAAGTTTTCGATTAAAAGTCATGTGACAAACAGTGCGTTTCAAATCTCCTGGAGTGTAGTCAAATTAACTTGTTAATAAGTATTTAAGGTGCAGTCTCGTTTTATGCTTGAATAAATCAAGGATCAAATTTGTGATCTTGTCCAAGGTTTTATCCCTGTGAACATGAGTAAAAATTAGCTTTGAAACACACTATTCGCCTAAGACTGTGGGATCTCAACAAACAAACCTCTACAAACGTACATAGGTTTCTTTTTAACAACAATTAGAGTTTTGGTGCACATTTAGTAAATTTGAAAATAGGTTTTGGCTGCTGATAAATATACTGAATATAAAAGTACATTTTATTTATTATTTGGCTAATCCGCCGCCTTTGACACTTAGTTTAGTGTAAACAATTTGTGTACTTCAGGACTAACAACTAAAAACACTCCGTTCAAAGTGAAAACAAAAAGTGTCTGCATATTGTGTGTGAGCGTGTGTGTACTGTGCGAATATCGTGTGCGTGTTGTATAAATCTCTCAGTTTAGTTTATCTGTCAATAAATCAATCAGATATACAGCACCCCTTTTTGCCCCTTACCGCTTCCAATCCCTGTCGTGGCACCTTTGACATCGTTGTTTTGTTCCGTCTCCTCACACTTGCTGGTCGATGCCACTATTTTGCATGACCATTGCTAAGCACTGCCGGCACTGCTTGCTGTACCACCGCGTTGATCACCTCGATCTCCTTCTTCAGGAAGGCGGCGCCGTTCTCCTCTAGGGAAGGATGGAGGTCAGATGGAGCATTGTTAGGATCTGTGCCATTGTCATGGACAAAGGATATGTTGCGTTTTCGGAGACCGCCACCAGTCGAGGACTCCAAGGGACCGGTGCCGTTGCTGCCGGGCAGCTTCAGCTTGGGAAACTCGATGTCCCGCATCAGATCGTTCTTAAACTCCACAATGCCGCTGACGGTCTCAGTTACAGTCTTATCGATAAATTCCTCAATGTTTTTGGTCTCCGCCTCGATCTTCTCCTTCAGTTTGCTGGACAGCTGGTCCATCTCACACTGGTCATGGGGCACGCTAACGGCGTCCCTGGCGCACCTGGACATTTGTTTCTTTTCTTGCTGTAGCTGTGGGCGGGATCGGGGGTTTACATTGCTCGGTTGCTCGGTTTGCTGTTGTTCGGTCGTGTTGTGTAGTGCAGCAGCTGGCTGCAGGTGTGTTGTCGTGTTGACTTTACATTGAGCGTGCTTATCCTCCTCCCCATCCTCGTTGAGATCATTTCCAGCGGTTAAGGCGGCTGCAGTGGACGGCACCCCACTGGTCATTGTCGCCGCCGCATCCTTGCCGGCCGACAGTTTCAAGCTTTCGCTGTTATTCGACGAGCGAACCCGGCGTTCGCCGCGTATAAACTTGGGTAAAATAAATATGGTCACTAGTGAAATGATGTGAAGGCACAAAAAAAATCTCAGGTACAATTTGATGCTGCCCTGTAAAGCGAAAATATGAAGTCGGTTAATAAATGATGTTTGAGAAAATATAATTTAATGTAAGGTGAGTCGATTTTTTGGTTTTCGAAAAAAATATATAAGAAATATCCTGCAAGTAATCAATGAAAAAGTGTTAGCTATTATTTCTAGACAACTACAGGTTTTAAAAAGGGTAGTCTTTTTTAACAAAATATACCAAGGTGCAATTTAATTTCCAGGTCGAATTCGAAACAAAACTAATGGATATTAAGTTTTGATTTTACTGTAAAAATGGTTTTGTCTTTAGAATCAGATGCAAATTTGGATATTATTATAAACAATAGTAAGAGATTGAAATTAAAAAAAATTGTAACTACAAATTTTAATAGTACATATTTTCATCTTTTTCCTATTTATCGACCAACTTGCGAGCGAACTCACCATAAATTCAAGCAGAACGAATGGGAATGTGGCGTAGCCCAGTACGACGCGTGTGATCAGACAGGTGAGGATGTCGTAGAACATTCGCGTGACCTGGGTGCTCTGGAAGCGATGACGGAAAAGTCGCCGGCCGGTGCGCGCAGCCGTCACAACGACGGCGCCGGTGGCAAAGGTAAGGTAGTAGCCCGGATAAAAGCCGTGCCAGACGGCGCTGAGGGCGAAGGTGAGGAGCGTCCCGTACTGCTTAGGCACCCGCTCATAGACAAGCGTTCGTAGCCAGCGATTGGTGCCGCAGTTCCAGTTGTTGATGGCATCGCGCATGTTCGTCGAAAACTGTTCAAAAATATAACATGGTTATTAAAGATTTGTAATTGTATTTCTAGATATTAAACACCTACCTCAAACGACAGCACATTTATGTTGGATATCAGGTCCCACTTGGGATTGCCATCCTTATCGTAGCCAGTGAAACCTAGGCCTGAGTTGTTGCAAATGGCATCCGCTAGGAGCCAAGCGTGATAATACTTAAAGCGTATGCAGGTGGTCGCCATCATGGCGTACCAGTACTTGTAGATCATGCTGGTGTTGTTTAGGAAGTCATCCTCCTTCATGTCTTTCACTGGATACATTTTCACAAACTTCATGAATATGAAAGCGCACACCACACTGCCAACCACTTTGCGTATCACCGCTTTAGTAGGTGAAGGCTCCAACACTACTTCTCTCTTACTGCTGTCTAGATTACCCTGGTAAAAGAGGATTGGGAATAAGTTTGAATTGCATTAATACGAAGAATTACTGTATTTTTTAAATCATTAAAAATTATCTGGGTATATAAGAAATATTCAAATAAATTCGGATTGGTTATATTCTATTAATTATATATTTAGCGAACTAAGAATAATATTCTTTTATTTTCTTATTCGGCAATTAAAAATCAGAGAAATTGTTATAACAAGGATGAGCTCAGCTCTAATTCCTTCCTAAAGAAATTACTAAAGAGTTGTTAGGCCAGGTGGTCCAATTAAACTTACGTTGCCCGACGGACTGCTCAATAAATTGTAGCCCTCCACGAACTCGATGTAGTCTTTGTAAAAGACCAGTGGACCGGCTAGAATGCTCTGGAAGTGCCAGACGTAGGAGAAGTACTCCAAGGCCGAGGGCATTTTGCGAATCGCATGGTATTGCTGGGCCTTGGTCAGTTCCTGTGAGATGAAAAATAATATTAGCCTCCTGTTTAATAATAGTTCGCCAACTCCACACTTACCTCATCCCGCCGCACGAATCCATCGTGAATGCTGAATGCCAGACTGGTCACCTTCTGGGTGATGATCATTAGGGGCCCGGTAATGTCCAGGGCATAGGATCCATAGTCGTAGAGTTGGCGCATTAGATGCACGCCCAGGAGATAGCTCATGGCGACCAGCAGGACGGCTCTAAAATATAAAATAATTAGTGAAAGGCTTTGGAATCAGTGGTTAATAATTACCTTTGCACGATGCGCGGATCCTGGGTACGGATGACGATGTAACATATTGCCGGAAGTCCGGCAATGTGGATTGCCTGTTTACCAAAGCAAAAGTAGCCAAAGGCCAGGCCAATCGAGAGGGCGAACGTGTGACGCAACTTACTGGACACCTTCGAAGGATGCAGCATGGACCGGAAGAGCGAGGCGAGGAAGAGAGCCGATATTTGGCAGATTAAGAAGTTTACCTGCAAGTAAAGGAAGAGTTTTCGAAAGGGATTAGAAAAGTACAGGTTTAATAAAAAATTTATTGATCTAAGATATTTTCTTAGAATTACACATGCAAAAATTTGTAGTCATACGAGGATATAACTTAAAAAGTGTGCAACAGGTAATCGTTTCTGACCCTATACGTATATATATTTTATTTGACCGTCCGTATGAACGTCAAGGTCTCGGGAAGTATAATAGCTATAGAAATTACGCATGCAAGTTTTCAAAGTTTTGCCACGCCCACAAATCGTGAAATTCTTTAGAGACCAGATAGATAAATGTCTTAGCGGTATTTGATCAATATTAAAGACACAAAAAATGTTTTAAAAAACATATTAATAAAATTGTCATAGATCGTTCTCAATTTAAATGTAATTCCTTCCGGAACCAAAATTATAAAAGTCACAACAACGAATCTAGTTAATAATACCCCTTTATGTTGTATTGCCGGAGGTCACTTGAGATCTTTGGACCCAACCGGCAAAGCGGGGCACATGCAGTAGGCACGTGTCTTTCTAGATTTGCAATTGTAATGCGAGAACAGCATCCCCCACTCATTGCCGCCCAGATCACCCATCACACAGCGCCAGAGAAATGGGGCCACAAGTGCTTGTCAACTATTGCACTTGATCATGGCGATCGCCGATCACGATCACGCGTTGTGATCAATGTTCGTTCTTCTCCACTTTTGCTGACCATCAGTGGCCTTGGCTTCTATCACGATGTAAATGTTTAGGAGCCCCGAACGGATCTCTGCAAAATGGCCTTTGCCTGGTTGTTCGAGGGTTTTGGTGTTATTTTCCGCTCGTTTGCTTTTTCGCACGAGTCCCGTGCCAATGAATAAGCAATGAGGGGCCCCAAATTAGACCGGGTGAGTTCCCTCCGTGGGTGCCGTTTAATTGATATCAATTGCTCGACGCTTTCAACTTGATTCCCATTCCTTGAAACGCATTTTCAACTGTCCTCGATAAGGTGCGATAAGAAAAGGTCTTTGGGGGGAATGAAATCAGACCACACCTATTCTGGGGTTATTCGCAGACAGCATAAACATAGAAAGCGGATGCGACGGCTGTGGGCTCGAGTCACTCTTATCAATTATCAAGCCAAAGCAATTACGAATTGTTTGCCGCTCACCCACACATACAAACTTATATTATTATTAAAACACCAGTAATCGTACACATCCACAAACTGCAATCGGCGCTTGCCAGTGTAGCAGAAATGAAATCAAATACTTAATCGGCTATATGTAATCACATTCATTAATTAACAATTTGATTGCCACAAGTGAGAAGTCAATGACTTAATTCTAACATTAACACAGTTTATATTATGCGCAGTTTGTCTGTTTTATTTTGTTTCTTTGTTTCAAGTACTTATACTATGAGACACGCGTTGTACGTCGTCAACAAAAAAGCTTTTGCTGGTTGGCAATTACAAATGCCTTTTTCCAAAAGTATTTAGGTTCGCTATAAGTCGATCAACAGTTGAATCTATTTGAATTTCGTTGATCTATCAGCAAGTTATCTAAAATTCAAGTACAACAATACAAGTAAAACCAAACAATTAGAATTTGATTTTGGGTTTGATTTTAAAATGCTTTTTATGATACCCATAAAGAACCAAGAGAGATCGCATCGTTATACGAAAAAAGATAATCGTCTTGGATGTGATTTATATGCTGTTTATTGAGTAGGTGGTTACTGTTGGTTACGAATACAAGTTGCAATACAAACTCTGGTCTTACTCCAGTTGAGTCGAGATGGCCAAGTTGCTTAGTTACGCTGGGCGGGACAGTTTAGCACCTGACTGCGAGGAAGGCACTCTCCTGCCTCCGAATCGTACCACAGACCGGGACGGCACTTGCGGAGCAGACGACGACCGGCGCGGCACTCATAGTACCTCCTGCAATGACTCGGATCTTGGACGATACTTCCCTCCGCGCGGCCAACGCACATGGCACTGGTTCCAATCGGGATGGTAACTTTGGTGCTGCTGCTAGAACCAGGAAGGAGATCCTCGATTGGCTTGGGAATCAGATCCTCACGCTTTTTTTCATCAGATCCGCAGGCCGGTGTGGTTGTCTCCTCGCAGGGTGGTGGAGAACTAGTGGTGGGATTGCATAAGGGGGTGGTTGTAGGCTCACAAGGAGCGGTCGTTGTGCTTGGTGTCGTGATTTCGACGGTTAATGGGGTTGTAGTGATTTCAGCGGCAGTCGTCGTTGGTGTCGTTATTTCACAGGGTGGTGGAGAACTAGTGGTGGGATTGCATGGGGGGGTGGTTGTAGACTCACTAGGAGCGGACGTTGTGCTTGGCGTCGTGATTTCGACGGTTGATGGGGTTGTAGTGATTTCAGCGGCGGTCGTCGTTGGTGTCGTTATTTCACAGGGTGGCTGTTGTGTAGAAGTGGTTGGTTCGGGAGTTTTTACTTCACAGGTTGTTGTCGTTGGAGTGGTTGGAGTTGAAGTCGCTTCTGGAGGTGGTGCTTCGGTGGAAGGCTCGACGGGAGGTGGGGCTTCGGTGGAAGGCTCTACAGGAGGTGGAGCTTCGGTGGAAGGCTCTACAGGAGGTGGAGCTTCGGTGGAAGGCTCGACGGGAGGTGGAGCTTCGGTGGAAGGCTCTACAGGAGGTGGAGCTTCGGTGGAAGGTTCGACGGGAGGTGGTGCTTCGGTGGAAGGCTCTACAGGAGGTGGAGCTTCGGTGGAAGGCTCTGCAGGAGGTGGAGCTTCGGTGGAAGGCTCGACGGGAGGTGGTGCTTCGGTGGAAGGCTCACAGGGCGAAGGTGGTGCTGGGGTTGAAGGCTCATTAGGAGGTGTGACTGGCTCACAGGGTGCTGGAGTTGAAGTCTCTCCTGGAGGTGGTGCTTCGGTGGAAGGCTCGACGGGAGGTGGGGCTTCGGTAGAAGGCTCTACAGGATGTGGAGCTTCGGTGGAAGGCTCGACGGGAGGTGGTGCTTCGGTGGTAGGCTCTGCAGGAGGTGGAGCTTCGGTGGAAGGCTCGACGGGAGGTGGTGCTTCGGTGGTAGGCTCTGCAGGAGGTGGAGCTTCGGTGGAAGGCTCGACGGGAGGTGGTGCTTCGGTGGAAGGCTCTGCAGGAGGTGGAGCTTCGGTGGAAGGCTCTACAGGAGGTGGAGCTTCGGTGGAAGGCTCACAGGGCGAAGGTGGTGCTGGGGTTGAAGGCTCATTAGGAGGTGTGACTGGCTCACAGGGTGCTGGAGTTGAAGTCTCTCCTGGAGGTGGTGCTTCGGTGGAAGGTTCACAGGGTGAAGGTGGTGCTGGGGTTGAAGGCTCACTAGGAGGCGTAACTGTGTTTGAAGGCTCACAGGGTGGCTGTTGGGACGCAGTCGTTTGTTCGGGGGTCTCTATTTCACAAGGTGTTGTTGTCGTCGGGGTTGTTGTAGTGGTGGTTGTTGTTGTTGTAGTGGTTGTTGTTGTAGTGGTTGTTGTTGTTGTAGTAGTGGTGGTTGTTGTTGTTGTAGTAGTGGTTGTTGTTGTAGTAGTAGTGGTTGTTGTTGTTGTAGTGGTTGTTGTTGTTGTAGTAGTGGTTGTTGTTGTAGTAGTGGTTGTTGTTGTTGTAGTAGTGGTTGTTGTTGTTGTAGTAGTGGTTGTTGTAGTAGTAGTTGTTGTAGTAGTAGTTGTTGTAGTAGTAGTTGTTGTTGTCGTGGTAGTAGTTGTCGTTGTTGGGGCACACGTAGTTGTTGTTGTTGTTGGGGCACACGTTGTTGTTGTTGTTGTTGTTGGGGCACACGTTGTTGTTGTTGTTGTTGGGGCACACGTTGTTGTTGTTGTTGTTGGGGCACACGTTGTTGTTGTTGTCGTTGGAGCCTCAGTGGTCGTTGTCGTGGTATCCTCCTTGCAGCTTGGAGTGGTCGTTTCACATGGTGGAGTGGTCGTCCGCGTGCAGGGCGGCCTTGTGGTCGTGGGCTGGCACGGCTTACCTGGAGATTCTGGCTCTGGGCGGTTGATTCTGTGGGCAGATCCGGCGCAGATAGCGACGGATGCCACAAGGGCCAGAAGGAAAAGGCTTGCTAGGAGGGGAAGCTTTAGCGAGGAATCCTCAAACACTTTCAAACAGGACACTTACACAGATTCATCGAATTTTTCGGGCGGCGCAAAAGGATAACTAACTGCTGCTGGCTACTTTACCGCTTTCGCTTCGGTGCTCTGACAACTGACCCACCTGCAGCCTCTTTTTATAGCCAGATCGTAAAGAGGGTGCTATGTTCTGGGCTACCCGGTTACAAGTAAGTTACTACATTTCCCTGATAACTTCTGGCCAATTTGCAAAGTGCAGTCAGGAAAGTATGTTTTATTAGTAATAAATAATAATATAGTTCTACTGTCACAGCCATTTGTAACAGTGGTTCAAAAATCATCTTTATTGTATAATGATTTTTTGTAAACATATAATTAATTCTTGACTTCCAAAAAATGGTTATAAAGGATAATTCTTGGGTTAACTCTGATATTTAAAATGTTTAATTTAAAAGCTACTATAAAACTTATTAATAGAATTATACCGTTTTAAAGCAATGTACTTAAATTTCTCTTTCTATCTTTACAAGTTTGTAGCATCTCAGAAGTTCCGCTCTCGAATTTCATAATGAACAGGCACACTTCTGCCGTTGCCGATAACACTGCAATATATGTATACATATATATCTATAGATATCTGGATTTGTATATCGGGAAGTTGTACCCACAAAGGGGCCACGTCTCCCAGCCATTTAACACTATGGGCCAAAGATAAAGACGACCCTCACGCGATTTCAGATAGCCAGTGATAAGTCGGGCAGAACAATAAAGTTCGTCAATATAAAAGGTTGTTGCCACTAACCTTAGATTACAGACTTCGGGTATCAAAGTGATTACAAGGTGAATCACGCTGGTAGGGAGAATAGCCATCGAACCAGCAGTTTTCCCATTCGGACGCATGTTGTAATCATCATCCGAGTACCCCATGCGCAATAAGTGGGTTCGCATTGCTGCTGGCCAAAACCGGTTCTTTGTTGCCTCAGTCCAAGTTGTATGGCTAAAACACAAGCGAAGACCGGCCTCACCGAAAGGAAAATCTTGCCTAAGAATTATGATTTAAGCCCAACTGGGGAACCAGCATAAAAAGGGCAACAAGTGGGTGTTGGGCAACTTGTTGGCATTGAACACAGAAAACTAACACTGAGGAAAATTTCAGGACATGATTATTGTATAAATACAAATCTACAAACAACTTTAAGAGCGACTAAGCATATTATATAATGGCGATTTCCAAGTATTTAATTTTTAAATGATTTCGCAAGATTGCTTTTCAGTGAAGGGAACTCAACTCAAGTATGCGGAAGAAGGAAAATCTTTTTCCTAGCTTTTGTTTCAGAATGAACGATGAGTGAAGGTTTCGGCTCCCCAAGCTCAAAGTATACTTGTAATTACATACATATGTATGTTCATTGTGGCTTTCTGTGGGGACCTCGAATACAAAACTCATGTCTCTGCAATGCGCCCAAGGCAAAATAACTAAATCGGGCATAAATTCAGGTGTACAGCTTGGCGACCAATCGAATTTCAGGGCACGCAGTCATAAAGCCACAATGAGAATTCCAATTACCAAGTGCTTCCCTTTGAACATCCTGCAAAGCACACTAACTGCACCAAATGAACACGGCAAAGATTGTCTATTGGTAGGGCAAACAGTTTAAAGTCAAATATGTGGACCCAAGCTCTTCATCTCCCGTTCAAGCGCATTGTTTGCGCTATTATGAGGAGATAGCTGCCTGCATGTCAAGATAAGATGTTGCCATGGTTCCGGCCGGCAACAATGCAATATAGTTTGCAGCGCAAGCAATTTGTGGGTCCTCATCTGGCATTGTTCGCTGGGATTCCTTAGCTACGAGCTGGGCTTTATTTCATTTACTTAGCCCTCTCTCCAGAAGATGCGACATTAAGGTAAGAGAGGTTGTCTTATAAAAGCAATTATGTTTGAATTATACTTTTTTAATACAACTTTTTCTATCTGTGATAACCCAAATATCAACATTCTCGAAAAATATATTGTTTCTGCGTTATAGATCTTATTTGGTAAGACCCAAAAATCAAAAGCAGTCCATAAAAGACATGTTATTTTAGCTAATGGAATAATATATTAAACAAAAGTTTAAATGTTGCATTCTTCTGATAAAAACTCTGTGTGCAGATGGGACACTCATCAATCAACTGGGTTGTGGACTGACTCAATCTGAAATGCAAACAATCGTAGATACATACATATGTATCACAAATCCCACGTGCAATGCCAATGGAAACAGATCATAAATCGTTTGATTAACACGCCGCATTGCCAAATATTTTAAATAGTATAGCGGAATACAGATAGAAAGAGCGAAAGGCGAAAAGGGGTGGTCTTACGCCAACCCAAAAAAAAAAGTGGCGTGATCACTATAAATAAAACAATAAAAGAACCGCCAAAAGATATACCCAAGACAAAAGCGAACGCACGATAAAAGCAAAAGTCAAAACAAAGTCTAATTGCGAAATTCGTTAAGAATGCAGATATACATATGGAAATCGTTTGAGAAACAGCCAAACAAAACAAACCGACAAAAACGAAAGTAATTAATTCCAGATGATTACTTCACCATAAATCATCACTAAGTTATTATGACTCGTATATACCCATTACAATGAAAAAAAAGAAGGGTATGCCAACAACCGTTAGAGGCGCCAAACAGCTGTCAAAATCAGAAAACATAACGAAGACCGCAAAACAGACTACACAACAAAAGCAACGAGTTCAAACAACTGCGGCACCCCAAACTCAAGGTCACAGAAATAATAATAATATCATAAAATGCATGTTGGGGTGGCGGAGAAAGCAGGGAGCGCAACAATTGACTTTGCTTTCGCTTTATCTCCATGCATATTAGTCGATTTTTATTATCTTGGCGTGCACTGCAATTCAATTGATATTTGCTGGCCATACTCTGTCTTTATTCGTATTTTTCCTTTTCTGATTCCGATATAATCACACGAACCGGTTAAAAACTTCCACGGGAACGCAAATGTTGTGAAATACGTACATATTATTATTAAATTGTATGTATACGCCAGTAAAAAAACAAGCACCACAGCGATGAGTTGTTTATTGTTGTTTATTAATAAAAATATCGTACCATAACAGTACGACAGCGGTGGCGTTTTTATTAACGAATTCTTACAAAATTAAATAAAGTATTTTTAACAATCGGTCGTCAGAAAATGTGTAATCAATTAAAGTTATTATGGCTACAAAGCGTACTTTTAATGAGTTAAATAATTACTAAGGTGTTTTTTTTTATTGTTTTTATTGCACCATAATAGCTTTCAAATCACTAACATAAAAATATAAAAACCATCTGCTAGTCATTATTTAACTCATTAATAGAACGTTTTGAAAAATGATTCTACATTATGTTGACTGACTAGGAAAAATGTATCTATGATAACATAAAAGCAATTTTTGGAACTCGCCCGTAATGATAGTTGATTGACCCGGAGTGTATCAAGAAAGCGAAGGAGTGTCAGTGTGGGAGGCGAATTCAAGATTCCGAGAGAAAAGCAAAACTGAGAATAAACCGCAACTGACCGGCCGGGACTGCATCTGGCCATTAACGCCTCTCGCGATCCTATTGAGTACCTTTAACTATTTAAGTACTACATATTTAGATGCCTTGAACATGGAACAATTGGCCAATTCATCGCCATTTGCGCAGTTGCGTGCTACGGCCTTCGCTGTGAATTATTGTAGTAAAATGAATAAAGCGAATAAAATATCAGGCGCAGCGATTTCCAAAATAGTGTCGCCCACCCACAAAAACTCGATTACTTAGTACAGTAAACTCTGTTTTTAGTGAACTTTCTTACTATTGTCTTATTCCCTTATTCATTTATCATCTATCTATTAATAGTTTTGGTTACAAAGCTATGACTACACCAGATATTTCCAAGATAAGTATGTTAAGATAAAGAATTATCACTATTTGGTTCTTGAATTTTTGTTTTTAATAACATTTCTATGCCACTTAAGTTGCCTAGGTTGACTAAATAGAGCACTTACTGTTTTTTGTTTAAAAGACTGACTGACTCATGCGGTCAACATCAGCTGAGTCAAAACAACAAGAAAACGGCTAACCAATACACAGCCAAGCTGTTGATATTTGTTTGCAAGCAAAAGAAGCGCTAAAAATTCAATTATATTCAATGGAGAGCGGGAATAAGAGATGTATATATGTATCGTTGGAGCCAAGTCAGTCAAATTGGATTTCTCATAGCCCTTGATAAAGACAATTGCCAGATAGCTGAATTAACACTGGATTTCTTGCAGTGTGTGAGTGTGTCGGCCTTACATCGGATGTTAGCATTAGGTCATCGGAATTGAAAAATATGACGATTACGTACGTGTATGCCACTTGATTTGGGCCAGAAAATGCCTCCGTATGAATCACATTTCAATATGCCGACTGCAGTTATGCAAATCACATTGCGCCAAACGAATGGGGCAAAAATAGGGGGTAATGAGATGTAAAAGGGGAGGCAATAAGTGTGCCTGTGCGACACTCTCTGTGAAGAGATTAATCACAACCCCCTTCACATTACCCCACTATTAAATGATGCAAAACATTTTAAATTTAGCGAAATCAACGGTGCGTCAGTCACAACAATAGTAATTTCAAAATTTTACGCTAGACAACTCTCGGCATGGAAAATTCCACTGTTAATTCTTACCAACTGATAAGCTCATCACATTCAAGTTGTCTAAACGGAATTAGAGAATCTAAAAACTACAAAGTGGGTATAATTTAAGGCAAAAGCCAAATTCGATTAGCTGCCAAGAGTGGCGCACGTTATAAAAGGTGCAGTACAGTGCCCTCTTTTTATATAGGTTTCAAATATACAAATAACGATTATATACAATTTAAATAAGCATTTCTTATGGTTTCACTATAAACATTATTCTGAGTTGTACAATTAATTTTTTTTTCTTAAGATAAATAATTGTAATAGGTGGTTCACTCTATACATTGTTCACTGTTAACGGGAACTTTGTTTGGGCAACCGGCAATGGAATTTATTTACCCAACCGTTGCCAGGTAAATTTAGTATATTTCCCAGAAGGGGAAATCCCTTCCATGTCCTTCAAGAAATGCATTGTTTTTAAGAAGAGAGAGTTTCTGCAGCGGATTTATCCCGCATGATTAGCACACACACAGAAACACGCGTATACACACGCACACGTGCACACGCCCGTTTCGAAAAGAGAAGGTGGGGGGATTAAATAGGACCAGAACCCAGGCAGTTTTGAAGTAAATACTATTACTTACCAAGTCCACGGAGAGCCCCACCATATCCGCCAGCCATGTGAAGGTTCGGCTGCCGTTGTAGCAATCATTCTCAATGAATTTCGGCGGTTCTATCATTTTGCTGTATGTTTTCTTTATCCGTTCTTTTCTGTTGCGTTGTTGTTGCTGTCGGTTGGTCGTTCCGATTTCAGTGCTTCATTGGGAAAACTTCGCGATTCACTACACTTTTACGGTTCTTCTGGGCACCACCGAACGGTCGAGGTCCCCGTGTGGGCGGAGGGAAGCGCGCTGAACGTTCACTTATAATTTTGTGCAACAATTTGGAAGTGTTTGGCTGCTCGGAACGGATCTCTCGTGTCCGTGCGTATAAATGGAATATTCGAAACGCAATAGAGATGGGCGCTCGGTGTGTTCTGTGTGGCCAGTGATGGTAGTCACAGCCGATAGTTCGAGGCGCTATGTCTGGTTAACAGCGCTCTGAGGGCCTGTTAACACCATGCCGTAAATTTATCGACAAATCGGATCTATTTAGCGCACAAATTTTAAAAGCTTGATGTTTTTGTCAAATGTTGTCGTATTCAGCTCTTTTATATTTTAGCGTTCGCAGAACAGCGGATCCGCTGATGGAAATTTTGATAAAGATTCTGGTTCTTATATTGTTTTCGTTCTTATATATAAGGGTATTAAACAAAAAAAATCTGCCAACGGGATAATCCCCAAAATTTCTAACATCTAATTTTTACAATATTTACAAAAGATGTTGCTAATGGGATTTTTTCCTTCCCTTTAAATTAACTTAATGATTTCATCTAATATTTAGAATATTCACATATCTCCCCAATTGCTGGAATTCAAAATTTCTAAAAATTTCAAAACTCAATAATTTTTTAAAATGGTTCTGATCATTACTTAGCATGTTTCTTGTGAATAAGCCGATAGCCAATGTCATCACCACCTCTGTTAACGCCCCTGCGACTAGCAGGGTTGCACGGGATCTATCGGTCAGCTGTCATCTCTATTCCGCGCACCAACTGCGAACTCTACTTTTCTGGAATTATTATTGAAATAAATCAAATTGCAAAATGTTGGGCCGCAGCAGTGTGATTGCACGTAACTTCTCCCAGTCGATGGTTCGCTTCAGCGGACACGGCGGAGTTCCCGGCGAGGTGAGTCTCAGGAAATGAGCATTACGGATAATGGGTTACATAATTTTTGCGATGGAAAATCAATCATAACACCGGAAAAAACTGTTTTAATTGCAGAACCTGCCTTTTGGACTGACAAACAAGTACAGGATCACCGCCCTGTTCACCATCGGCTGTGTTTTGGGCTTCGGATCGCCCTTCCTGATCGTCAGGCACCAGCTGCTCAAGAAGTAAGGTGCTCCCCAGGCGACAGCAACAACAAATGTAAGGTTAGTTCATTGCGTTTCATAAATATGTTTGCCATTTTTCATTCAACTATTTATTTTTCAGATGTAGCGTTATCTGCTGAGGCTGCCGGGAGGCTATTTCAGTGTGTTACAGCTTAAATTTAAGTGAAAAGAGGAAACGAAATAAAGTTACCCGTAACCGTAGACCTAACGTGTGGATGTTTTGATTTAAAGGCCCAGCAAATGGTTGTATTCTTTAGACCAGGTGCTTCGAGTGCCGTAAAGCATTTTTATATGCCAAATCTCGGTTAGAACTAGCAACCAAGTCGATCTAAGTTAACCATTTGGAAAATTGTAAATTGAAAGGGCTCGAACTCGGAATAGCTCAAGTCTTATCGATACATATAGTAGAATATATCTTCGTTGGCAAATAACATTAACGATAACTAATGATTTTTGCTTACAATTTAAACACTATTTTCTATAGTCGCCTGAGTTTAATTAGTTACAGCACACTCTTTTCCATTTTCAATAATTTTAATAATAATAGTTCGCTTCAGTATAAAATTCGAATTATAATTCTAGTAGGCTATAAACCTACAATTGTCATTCAGTCGTTGGAAACTACGGGTTCACTTCTCGTTTGCCAGCTAGCAAATAATTAAATATTTCAGTTTCAAAAAGCTGCAAGTTAAAAATTAGTGATGTGGTCTACGCTGCGTAAACCCATAAGCAAGTTTTGCGGGCCACCAAAGCGCTATGGACACGGTTATTCAGGCGGTTGTCCTGGAGTGGTAATTGAACCAAGTTTGTACCAGGATCTAGTAATCTCAATACACTGATAATCATTTATAGAATTTGCCTTTCGGCTTGGACAGCCCGATGCGGTTCACAGTGTGTTATCTCATTGCGGGAGTTGTGGGCTTTGGAGCTCCTTTTCTTGTGGTTCGCCACCAGTTGCTGCGCAATGTGACTGAAGAGCCGTAAGTACCAGCCGAACCATCTAAAAATCTTACCAACATTTTTGTTTTACAGAAAAGAAGAGCAATAAGTCCATTGTTATGATGATTTAAAACACTTGTTAATAAAATATTAAAGGGAATTGCACTTGGAATTTATTGTCGTATCTACTTGTTAACAATTGGCTTGGTGGTTTTATTTTACTTTAGCTAAACATAATTTTCGTTCGAAAGATCAGTACAAAGATCGTCACTGGCGGCGATCAAGGAAATTCGTTAATTGACTAGGCTATCACTGGGACACGCTACAGCTCCTCCTTGCCATCGAAGTCGTATTCCTCCTGGACGGGCGATTCATCGCAGTACCTGGCCTGTTCCGAGCAGATCTTGATGTCCAGATGATCGCCAAGCTCTTCGGCCTGGAAGGCCTTAACGAAGATCTCGTCGTTATCCTCCAGTACTTCGTTGCAGAAGTGTCCCAGGCTTTTGTTGAGATCTCCATCTTGAACAAAGTCCACCAGCGAGGAGTCGGGATTCATCTGGCCATTGATGATCATCTTTAGGAGAGTGAATTTACCATTGCTCTTGTAGGTGGCCTTGAGGTAGTCGTCCATTTTTTCACCTAGAAAAGGGAAAATGTTATTTAAGATCGGTTTTAAAAGATGGAACAAGCGAGCCACAAAATCATAGGTATGTGTAATCTACAAATAGAACACCACATATATAAATTCAAGGGTAGTACAATAATTGTGTTAGTTAATTGATAAATAGACCTATTACTTACACTTGCTCAAGGTTTTTCTCACATTGTGCTTATCGAATTTAAATACCTATACGTCACTGTACGGGTTTGGAGCTAATGTGGTTATGGAGCGTATACTTGTTTTAGCCTATCTTAAATAGTGGGCAATATTGGTACACTACATTAAACTGACCTAACTGATATATACATATACTCACAGATTTTCTCCATCAATTCGGTAAGGAACATCTCAGACTTGACGAGGCGGACTTTTTTGCTGATCGAATTTCCTTGGGCATCCAGGCGGAAGCCACTGACATCGGCCATCTTGTGGGAATCCTCCTTGGCTATGGCCTCCTCCAGTTCCGTCACCACAGCCTTGCACACTATAATCAATAGAATTCCAATTACCATGGGTGCCAGGGTCAACAAGTGAACAGCCGCCTGTTGCTGATTTATATGTATTGTTCCTTACCATGGCACTTGACCTCGCGGGAGGTGAAGCTGTATCCTTGGGCCAGGGCCAACAGGCCGAATAGGATGAGCGCCTTGGTCAGCATATTCACTTTAATTGATTATTAACTTAGAGCGTGGAAATTAATTGCAGCCACCACGTCAGCACAGCGCGTTCGGTTTGAAAGTGCGGCGTTGATAAAGTCGTGCGCTGTATTTACGATGACTTAAGAGCGACGTGGTTCTTAATGCTCTTTCGCGATAAGTGTAGAATGCTACTTAATTTATGCCCAGGATGAGGCGGCGGGGGGCGGTGGGTGCAGGTCAGTTGTGACAATGATTCAAGTTTCTATTACTAAGAAATCTTTTTGCTAATATGTGCCTATCGATAGGTCCAAACAAAAGTCACTTTTAATTCTGAAATATTTTTAAGGTTACCATCTCCAATGTTTTAGTAGCGACTTTTTAAATTAATTAAATTTTCAAAATTATTGTTTTTGTGATTATAAATATGAGCAAATATGAGGACTACATAAACTTGTTGCTTGATATTCAGTAAGATATCACATGATTCAAAAATTTCTAGAAATATAAAATTTGTTTCCCTATTTTAATTCGTATTTCATATGCTTACCATTATATTTGTTCCAACTATTTTTATTTTAAATAATTTGTTAGTTTTTTTTAATGTCAGACTTGCAAAGAACCCAAAAGTATCGATACTCAGTAGCGCGCGAAATTCAAAATTCTTCTTCCCCAGCATCACAATAATAAATACGTATAACTAGAACAATTTTCGGGAGAGCTGCTCTATATAAGACTTGAGATTTTCTCTTAGCTCTTGATCGAGAACGTCTGTCATATTGAGATTATATAGTAAGCTGATAACTGAAGAGTCAGTGCAAATGAGGAATTGCTCGCGAGTGGTTGCTCATTTTTTGGCTCGCCATGCGAATGCAATCGAATCGCTTATTTAACCGGCAAAACGTTCGTAAATTAAAATAAACCCTCAAGTCGGTCGCGACCAGTGATAATTTCTACATACTCTTATTAACCAATCTAATTGGCGTTAATTAAGTGTCGTGTATCTCTCTCCACTCGTGTTTCTCTTTCTTTTTCCTCGTTTGCAATCGTTTCTCCAAGACTGTTTGCTCGTTTAGTTGATAAGAACGAATTGTAGTCGCATTTTGCCATATTTATTTAGCAAAACTCTAGAAAAACGGAAATGCAACGGAAATTGTTGCCACATACCTTTTATTAAGCTGTCGGGTTCATTTTTCGACCCTGCTAAATAGAAAGTCGTTGCTGAGAGATAAGAGATCATTCATCGAGCTAACTATGAATGAATGCGCATGGAGAATTTGAGGGAGATTAGAGATTTCCTATGTGTTTTGTATAGATTTTAAAGTGGATTCAGGGCAGTTTTCACATGTTGCACAATAATATTAATACTAATTTTTAAAGTAAACCGGAATATATTTATTATTTGTTATACATTTACAATTGGTTTATTATTGCACTGGGTTTTGATTAATAAATCAGATTTGCCAACATTATTATTGGCAACGACATTTCCCTTTTACGCAAACGCCTAAAAGGCTCCTTGTTCTACAGATGGCTAAACACCGCTCGATCTGACAGTTGGCCCGTTTTTGGAGGTTGTGCTTCTCCAGTCCTTGGGTGGAACTCCCTAGATCCACATCAAGATTTACTGGATCCACTTCATTCGGTACTTTGGTGTCAGGATCGGCTAGCACTGCACAAACAGCAAGGAGAGCTAGAGCTAGGATAATTGTGATCTTCATGGTCGGATCTCAACTAGAAAACTGTTCTACCTGGTTCAGTTTCTAATCGTCTTTTATAGTAAATTGAATCGCTACCGGTTTATGATAATAAGTCGATTTGTTGTAAGAGTTGTGAAAATAATTGTTTTTTAAATATGGTGATTCTAAAGTTATGCGGAATGTAATACATACATAAGTGCAAAAGCAGTTTCCGATTAGTGTATAACCAGACACTGACAAATTTAGTGGTTGTGTGACATTGTAAGTTGATTATAAAATCAGAATTGGATTTTATTATTTAAGTAGTAGATTTACGCATTGAAAAGGCGAATAAATTCCTACCTACCTAACATTCTTAGGGACTCAATAACTCAAATACTATTAAGAATAATAAGGTTTCGTAATATGTCTGAAGGAATTTTTATACCCTTGCAGAGGGTATTATAATTTTTGTCAAAAGTGTCCAACGTAGTGAAGGAGACATCTTCGACCCTATAAGGTATATATATTCTTGATCAGGATCACCTCCTGAGTTGATATAAGCATGTCCGTCTGTCTGTTTCTACGCAAACTAGTCTCTCAGTTTTAAAGATATCGAATTGAATCTTTCCTTTGCACGCAGTATATAAGTCGGAACGGCCGGGATCGGCCGACTATATCCTATAGCTGCCATATAACTGAACGATTGGAAATGCCATAATGAGTGTTAAGAATGCATCATATGAATAATTTTGGAGAATATAATATTTCAACTTCGGCTCCGCCCGAAGTTAGCTCTCCTTTCTTGTTCAACTTAAAACCTTTTTTAGCTTACAATAGGACGTTTTCGTCTTACTGTTTAAATATTTCTCTTTTTAAAAATGAATAACAAACTAATCTTTTAAAAAATGAATTTCTGACAAAGTAATTTGTTTTTTGTTTTGTAGGATACTTTGATTTGGAAAATAGGTTGATTAAATAAACCGTTTATTTTTAAAATATTTACAATTTTTACATATTTCGGTTTTCATTCTGTTGTATACATTTCGGATGTTACACATGACAACTAAATTAGTTGCGGCAAACACAGACGGCCTTGTCGCTGCAATATCCTCCCTTGAACCCCTTGGTAAGACAGTGGGCGGCACAGGCGGTATGGTTCCAGTTCCACTTGGAGAGCAGGTCGCAGGTGGCCCGCTTCTGGCGACTGTGGGCCTCCTGTTCAACCAAAGGATGTTCCGCTGGAATGTGATCCTCCTCGGGAACGGGCTGAGCCTGCACCACGACGGCCACCAAAGCCAGAGCGATTGCCAGGAATACGATGAACTTCATGGTGAAATATCAGAGAAGATACTGTTGTGTCAAATCGTGGTTTCACCGAGTTTATATAGCGATCTGGCTGGCGATCGATTCGCCCAGGGACTCCCAGACGGTGACTTATTTTTTCATTGTCTGTTTTGCCATGCAGGAACACACGTATCGGGGGTTTTTAATTTTTGTAGATCATTGGCAATGGGAGAAACCATAGGGTAGAGTAATATTTTATGTTCCTTGCTCTGAAAATATTGATAATTTTTAACAGATATGGGCAGCCTGTTACTGGCAAAGTCAATCTTTGCAATAAGTATCTTTCATTTGTAGGGGATTTTTACGGCCCATTGTAGGCAGTGAAGCATGTACAAAATGACAAGTTTATGGTAGAAAGCCACATCTACAGATTCGTAAATTTTAAAATTGAGGTAAGTCTATTAGAGTTTTGAGTTATATTAAAACTTTGTAAATCCCAAAACTTAGCAGCAATATAAGTGGGAAGTTGTTTAAATCGGATTTTAAAAAAATGCTAATATATACAGGGTATGCAGAAACGCATAACCATTTGTCGCTCATAAATAATTAAAATTCGCTGATCTATTAGAATCTGGTAATCGCCTCGATTTCTAGTTAACTGTTTATCCCAATTGAAGGGCTGAGCACGGATACACTGTTATACTGAGATACTCGAATAAGCGGATACATACATAAACACAGGCGACAATAAATAATTTCTACCGAAAAGACTCTTCATAAAGCCAGGCAAATAAACAAACAAGAATCACACAATGATTAGTTGGGCACAGCGTCTGGGGCGGGTGTAGTTGTATCTGTATCCGTATCTGCGCGTACGTGTATCTATATCTGTATCTGCATCTGGTTCTGAACCCAGTTGAGCTGAGCCGACAATCCCGATCGAATCCCACGACCGTGGCTTTTTCAGTTCCTCTGCTCCTTGACTGTCCGTTGCCTGTTTACCTTTGTTATCGACCAGGCTGTCTTGTCTTGCATTTTGGCGTCATACTGTCTGCCAGTCCACTCCACTTGAGTTTTTACCCCAACTCCTATAACCGTCTCGAGTCTTCTTCGCTTACCCATTTTCACACGGGGAGAAAACATAGCTGAATTAAAGATTATTCAATAACAAGATGTAGAAGATTATTTAAAAATATAGTTCCGAATTTGTTAATAATGTTTAAACCTAGGGGTTCTATAGTTTTAGTACATCTTTTAAAAGAAAAACCCTTTTGCCTTAACTTTTGTTGAAAAAGTACACGTGGCCAAAAATTGTTATCAAATAAGAAATCTCAATGGATCCCAGATCCTAGAACTAGATTATTCTAAAACTGTTTCTTAAATTAGTAGTTTAGATATTATAATTTTTATTAGATTTTATATCAAACCACTCTGAAGTATTCTTTTTCTAAGTGCTTGCTCGATCGTCGAAGAAGACCACAAAACGGAGTGTGGCACAGCCGAAAACAATGCGGCGACAGGGGCGGGAGTTCGAGGGGGAATGGGGTTGGAAAGGGAGAGGGGTATAAAATGGGATGGGGGAGGGGGCAGTTATCGCTGCCGTCAGACTGTCTGGCAGGTTTCACACCGAAACGGAGACGAAGACCGGCAACTCCCCTCTACCTCCTCCTCCTTCTCAAAATCCTCTCCAGCCGGACTCCTTGGCCAGCGGCTCTATAAATCACAGGAGCGGGGCCCTCAACGGCTCACGTTTTCCCCTGATCCCCGCCACCGCCCTTGCCCCTGATCGTGCCCCTACCCCTGCCCCTGCCCTCCCCCGCTGGCTGAGCAGCTGGTGCAACTGTTGGCCGCTTTGTTTTATATGTTTTTTGTTGCTTTTGTTGGTGAGGCAACCTCTTGAGATGCACAAAGGAAGATAAATTTCACACGCACACACAAGTGCTCTCTCTGTCTGCCGGTGTGTGAATGTGATCGTTTTTATGCTGGTACAGTATGACCTGCCTAAATATACATACATAGCCTAAATAAATGGATCTTAAATTAATTCATATTTCCCGAATATCATTTTCGTTACTCTTTAATTGCAGTTTAATACATACATTCATTGTAATGCATTGCTTATACAATCTTAAAAGTTCCAAAAGATTTAAAAATTCTTAATTATTAATATTTAATCGACAAATTATATTTTATTAAAGTCTAAATGACCACAATTTTAATTATTACTTTATAGATAGGCCGTGTTTTCAAGTAAGGTAAATGCGATCAGGTCCTTAAAATAATTTTGTGCTAACGGGCTTTCTTGTTTTATTGTGATTTTAACTCTATATCTTGGGTTAAAATAACTATAGTTTTCTGGTTTAACTAAGAGTGTCCACTGTGTTGGCTGTCCAGTCTCCAAGAGTCGGAGTGGCAAAGATAAGATATTGGAAGCGACACGCCAGACACTCTGGCGGCGGCGGGATCCCGCTCTCTCCGCCGATCTCTCTGCTCAAATCCGATTCCTCGCCCTCGCCCACTACCACAACCTCTCTCGGGACCGCTCTCTCACGTTTTGGGCCACTCCACTCCAAGGCAACAAATGGCCAGTCGTGTGTGGAACTCGGCTACGATCGGTTGGTTTTTTGGTTTTTGGCTTTTGCTCTGCAGCTCAGTGCTCCTCGCTACTCGTTCCTCACTTCTTCTTGATCTTTTTTCGGGCGGTTTTCCAATCGAAACGTACCAAAAATCGCACACATAAAGACACATTATATAAACAGAAGATCTACAACACCTTAATGCACACGCACACACCTCGCCCACTATAAATAGCCCACGGAAATCGGTAAATAAATAAATCGGAGAGCGGCAAAGTAAAAGTTCTAGGAAGAAATTCTAATTGCGACTTTGCGAAAAAGATGGTGAAATAAACGAAAAACTTTGAAAATAATGAGAGAAACGCACTCGATGCAATAAACTTGTGTACTTAACAAATCCAAAACGACAAGAACAGTTAATTAACGAAATCGAACTGCAAAGTGAAATGTTGGCGAGATGTGTTTTGTTCGTCACCTGGCTGGCGGTCTTCATCGCGACTGGAAAAAGTGACGATCAGTTGGTAAGTTATTTTCAAAATATATATAAGGCTTAATCAGAAATCAATCCTAAGACTAAATAAAATTAAATGGGTCGATCCAAATTTTATTTTAGTTGATGACCATCATTGTAATAGTTCAAATTATAATTTTTTTGTTGATTATTGGCTTAAACCAAATAAATAGTTTCAATAAAAGAATTTGAATGCAAAATATTATTATTAAGATGAATTGGTATACCGAAAAGCTTAAAGTGTCTAGTGTTTCGACTGAAGAGATAGTCTTTCTCCTCTTAATGGTAATCGTTAAACTGTAAAAATAAAATATTTTCTCAGCTTAAATCATACTGTTAGCTTACCATAAAAACGAGAAAGCAAGCTTAATTGAAATAACCCATATGGGTTTTGAATTTCAAGCCCAGCTTTTAATCCCACAAAAATAATGGTTTACAAGCAAGCGAGCTCTGCCAAACTTTCTGCCAAGACATGCATACATACGGACACATGTATCTACAAATGATCCATCCCATTTGTAAATCCCAAGAAAACACTTGAATATTCCAGGTATCAGAGGTACCAAAAGTCAGACAAAGAAGAAGCTGCGGCTGTTGTTCTTCTCCTCTTCCACCTCCTTCTCTTTCACCAGCTTGTCCGCCGCCGCGCTGTCTGCCAAACTCCAAAAAAGAGAGTCTGCCGGCTCCGTTCTTCTCCAATCCTCTCCAGCTCTTCTCCTCCTCACCTGTCTTCAATCCCACACCTTGAATTTTGTTTTTGTTTCATCTGACCGACGAACGTGTTTCGTGTTCCTGCAGAAAAGAAGAAGAATAATAAGAGGAGGTGCAAAAAGGAGAACACAAAATGGTCACAAGTCAAAAGCGATTTCATTTTCCATCCTTTTTTCTCTTTTTATACACCCTTTTAATACTCTATATTATAATCTCATTTCAATGTGTGAAACGCACTATGAAATTTAAGGTCAAATAATTTGTGTGTTTTTAAACAAATAATTCTTCAGTTTAATTATTCCATTAAGTTTTATATCTAAGCCTTAAACTAATAGATCTGCAAGGGTATTCAAGCTTCGGGGTATTAACTAACCATCCTTTTTTATATTATTGCATTTTTTCGCCAATGCCACTAAGCTGGCTGATGATGACAAAGTGTGAAGAAGTATTTAAAGTGTGGAGCTTGTTCCTCTGATTCTTCTCCGCCTATCGCAACCTCCATTTCACCTCCTCGTTCGAGCGTGAGAACTGTCAGTCAATAATTTTGTCGTTATCTTGGTAACAATCCTTGAGCTGTCTCCGTTTATAATTTGTGGCTCAGAGGGAGAGAATGGGAGGGGGAGGAGTAGCAGGGTGCCACAGGTGGGGATTTTCAATCCAGGCACGTTTTCGGGATAACGCCCTATTTAAAACTTAGATAATGACAAGCGAAACTGTCATTTGCATACCCAATCAGACATTCCCAAGTGCAGTGGTATTGCACATAAACAGTTCGAAGGGGTTATAAACAAACAATTCAATAATAACTAAGTTATTGGTATAATCTAGCGTTAGCTTATAAATACCAAATGTCAATATGCAATAACTGTTTAAAATGTCACCTAACAAGTTAATCCACGAATTCTCAAAATTTGGGAATACATAGAGCGTAGGAATACAAAGAAACATATTTAATTTATTTTTAGAAAATTTCTTTTAATTTAAATACATTCTTTCATTCCCGAATTTGTTAATTGCTAATGATGTATCCATGTTCGACTTGCTAACCAGATGCCCCACAGTCCACTTCTGAGAACAGCCATCGGATCTGCCGATTGCAGCAATATATGCCGTGTTTATATACGTTTGTCCGATATCTGTCTGTGCCCAGTCGGGAGTCAAAAATCACCTGCACACTCAGATTTCCAGGCAGCGCGTGCTCGGCTGCCCACAAAAAGAATTCGAATTGTTTACCGACATTCTACATTATTTGTGTATATGTTGCTTGTGTGTTGGGGCAACA